CCCTGCGTCGAGGGCCGGCTCCGCCGTGCCCCTCACTCCTCCTCGTTCCCCCCCACCGCCACACCGCTGCAGACCCTACACATAGACGTTTGGGATCCCGCCCCCGTCCATGGGCCGCATCGCGACCGCTACTTCCTAGTGCTTGTCAACGACTTCACGCGCTACACCACCGTCTTTCCCCTGGAGTGGAAGGTTGACGTGCCTGAAGTTCTTATCCCGTGGCTTGTCTCTGCGCGTGTGCACCGAGGTCTCCCTGTGTTGCGTCTTCACAATGACTGCGGTGGCGAGTTCGCCTTTGGTTGCCTTGGTATTTTCTGTCGTGCGGAGGGCATCACCCAGACGTACACCCTTCCAAACTCCCAGCAGCAGAATGGGGTCGCTGAGCGACACATCGGTTTGGTCATGAAGGTGGCTCGTACCTCCATGATCCATGCTGATGCAACCCATTTTCTGTGGCCGTTCGCCGTTCGCTATGCCGCTCACCAGTTTAACCTGTGGCCGCACCCTCAGCGGCCACAGGTTTCGCGGACCCTCCGCTGGACCGGGTCCCCTGCTGACGCGTCGGCGTTCCATGTCTAGGGCTGCCTTGCTCACATTCGTGCCTCTGGCATGGACAAGCTCACTGCCCGCACCGTCCTCTGTGTCTTCCTAGGTTTCCCCCTTCACTCGTCTGATTGGCAATTCTACCACCCGCCATCTCACCGCTTCTTTTACTCCCGCGACGTCACCTTTGACGAGTCAGTCTCTTTTTACCACCGCTTTCCCCACCGTGGTCCTCCGGTTACCCCCCCCCTCTTCCTGGTTCCCCCTCCCCTCCCTACCCCATCTGGAGTGTCTCACGTCACCCCCCTCCCGTCGGTTGTCCCTGCCGAGGAGTTTGCTGACTCTCATGGCTCGGCGGAGTCTCTCCCCCCGCCGGTCCTCGCCCTGGTCTCCCCTCCCCTGTCGCCGCCACTGCTGCCGCAGCCGCAGCCGCAGCTGCCGTCGTCACCGCCGCTGGGGTTCGTGCATTCTGGAGGTGCTGGAGAGCGGGCTGGAGTTGGTTCTGGAGCGGGCTCTGGGGGTGTTGGCGTGGGGCTTCTCGGAGGGAGTCGTGTTGTCGCTTGTGGTTCTGGTGTTGGAGTCGGGCAACAGTTGTAGCCGTCACTGTCGGTGTCCGCTCTTCACCTCCTCGGTCTTCCTTTCCCTGAATGCCTGCCAGTGCCTCCTCCGTCGCCGCCGCCTCCTCCTCCGCCGGTCTACGGCCCAGTGTTTCCTCCTCCAGACTCCTCTCCAGCTCGTTTCCCTTCCCGTTCTCCTCCTGTGTCTCCCCCCCTCTCTCCTGACCCGACTCCTCCCTCTCACGTCTGGTCTCGTCATCCGTCTCGTGCTCGTCCTACCTCCCCTGTTCCGCGTTCTCACCCTATGTTGCTTCGCTCTCACGCGTCTCGTGCTCCTCCTTTCCTCTCGTCTCCTCCCCCGTCGTCACTTGTTGTAGCCCCGCCTCCGTTCTCTGACTTCCTCCGTGCTGCGCGTCCCCTTATTCCTCGTGTCCTTGCCTCTCTCGTTACCGACCCGTCCGTTCCTGTCTCGAGTTTGTGTTGCCAGGCTCGTGTTGTGCACTTGGGCGTTGACCATATCGAATCGCTCCGCTGCCGAAACGACGTCACTGTAGCTCGCGTAGTTTGTCGCTGCCACTTGTCGTTTGACTTCGGTCTTCAGCCCGGCGAGGTACAACTGTACTTTTTCCCCTTCGGTCAGGTCAGGAATTCGGTTATAAAATTCCTCCATCTGCTGCGTGTACTGCGCTGCACTCCCGAACTGTCGATGGCTATGAATTTTTTCCCGGGCAAGGAAACCCGAATGTATCGGCTCGAATCATTTCAGCAGGTCTGTGCGGAACTGCTGCCACGTGGCTTCACCGTGGATGAAGGTGCTGTTGCCGCCAATCCACTCGAGTGCCGGACCTCGCATCAGCATCGCCGCGAGTCGTACGCGTTGTCCGTCCCAGACTGGCGAGCTCCATCCGACGGCTGCGAAGTAGATCTCCATCCCGGCGATCCATCTGCGGGCGTCGGAGTTTCGATCGCTCGGATCTGGAGAGTCAGTCAGTCAGCTGCTGACTGTCAACGGCTGATCAAATCGGTTTCTACACTCGAATCTAGAGAGCTCGGCAAGGGGAGAGCACCGCAGTTGAGCGAATGGTTCACCTGCAGCCATTGAGCGAGAGAGGCGACTACCACGACGACAATGAGCGACCAAAGCGACAACGGCGACGATGAGCAACAGCCTCTTCTTCTCGCAGCCTGACGTTTGGATGCCTAACGACGGCTGAAATTTTACGTTTTCTGGTGTATCAAGCAACCTGGCCTTCGATGCTCTCGCACACAAGAATCGTGCATCAATGATGAGGAATCTTCAGGCGTTGGTTGAGCAAATGGCAAGTGCTGCATGACAATGAAATAGTGATGCCAGTTCGCGTGATCTACAGTGAAATAGTGCTTCATATCGTGGTGAAGTCTGGAGCATGACAGTCGCTCACATGCATGCACCCCCTTCAGCTGAGGCAGCTGCAGGAAAGTTCCAGGCAGGTTGCGAAGGCTTGGCAGTTGGCAGATATAGAGGGCACGGAGGGCGGAAAGATTTCCGAAACCCGCTGGAAGGAATGACAAATCCGGACAATTCTTGAGTGAGCACATCCGCAGATTAGACACTTTCGAAAACGAGTCCGGAAGCTGTGTTAGCTTTGATAACCCAGTCGTGGCACTGGGATAACCCTGTTATCCTCTCTCTCCCTAGGGAGGGTACTGGGGAGGCTTTCCTCGGGGAAGGTAGAGATATGGAGCCTAACCCTCCTGATGACATCCCTTCTTGTCCCAGTGGTTAGGACTGGTGACTTTATGACAGTAAGCCCTGCAAGCCGTCCCACTGCCTCTGCCAGTGCTTCCAAAGACTCGGCACACTTGATAGACAGTGCCTGCAGATTTGACAACTGGCTGATGGAATCAGGAAGCGAACGGAGTGCAGGCATTATGCCCAATGTCAGGCTGGTCAGGGAGGAGATAAACCCACGCATGGATCGAGTGCTTCTGAAGGAATACCGCAAATCTGAAGCGTTCGCAGTGAAGGCAGCACTTCAGCTTCAATACTTGTACAGTTTGTGGTCGTGCTGTTGCTCCCGCCCACCGAGATGCCCATAGTGCTACTCGTGCTAAGGTTCATGCAGTCCCGCACCTCCAGCTCCTGCAGCCGAGGGAGCTCAAGCAGCGACCGGGGCAGCGATTCCAAGCAATCAAGATCCGAGACCTCGAGCTTCTCTAGCCGCTCCAGACGCCCTATCTCCTCTGGCAGCTGCTTCAGCTCCTTGCAGTTACTCACTGTCAGTCTGGTGAGCGTGCGGGCGAGTTGAGAGAGGGATGTAGGTAGGGCTGTCAGATGTGGCGCGTCATTGAGAGAAAGTGCTCTGAGCTTACTGATGCAGCCAAGGTCCTCTGGCAGGGAACCTCTGAAGCACTCACAATGCCACATATCTAGCGCTCCGAGTGATGGCAGGAGGACGAAGGATGAAGGGAGGTGGGTGATGCCTTAGTGATTCAGAGACAGCTCACGCAGTCTAAGAAGGCCATCTCCCATGCGGTCTGGTAAAGCAGTCAGGCTTGAGCAATGATACACTTCCAGGCTTGAGCAATGATACACTTCCAGGCTTGAGCAATGATACACTTCCAGGCTTGAGCAATGATACACTTCCAGGCTTTCTAGGGAAGATAGTCGGGTGAAGGAGTCAGGCAGCTGCTCCAGCTCGTCACACTTTGTAATCTCCACCTCCCGCAGTTTTGCCAGGCTTCCAAACAAGTCGGGCAAGAGGGTAAGTTGATCAAGCCCTGACATATGCAAAACTTCCAACGCAGCCAGCTGCCCAAAGTTCTCGGGCTGCGCCTCAACTGCTAGGAGATCAGACTGGTCAATCTTCTGGAACCCAGTGGCAAGGGCGATCGACTCTGGCAAGCGCGCGAGGCGTTCAGCTACCAGCTTGAATTCCCGAAGCTTTGATAGCCGGCCGATGTCATCAGGCATCTCCGAAAGACCCGGCGCAGCCAGCTCGAGACTTGTGAGAGACGGAAGACTGGGGAAGGACCTGGGCAGAGATGCGAGGCTGTAGCAGTAGTACAAGGAGAGGTCCTGCAGCAGCAGCGACATGCAGGATCTTGGCGAGCAGATCGTCGGATAGCCGTCGGATCGGAGCTAAGGGGATCAGAAAGCACGGGTGCCGACTCCATTAGTAAGTCAAGAGAAGATTGGAGGGGGAACAACCCTTCGAGTTCAGAGAAAACACTAGATCATGGAGGTTGCTGAAGTGACGAATCAGCGCAGTGGCTGGTAGATTACCGAGACTAGGAAGGGAATCCTCGACCAAGACGTCAGAGAGAAATGCCTCGGGGAAATGGAGGTGTGACTGAAGAAATGGCACGAAAGGCAGAGATCAGAGGATTGGGGAATCAGGGAGGAAGCACCAGGAATGCAAAGTTGGTCATGAGAATGAGAATTTTGGGGGGTTCAGAGTTGGTTTGGGTGGGGTGGAATGGGATGAGATGGATTTGGATAGGATGGGTTGGGATTGGATGGGATTGATGGAATTGATGGATGCTTGCATGCTCTCTGTTCGATGGATGTATGAGGTGGAAGGGGGAATAGCTGGCTTACATGCAATCATGTGTTGCCATGGGGTGAACCAGCTGCACGTGGCGGCACATGGTTGGTCGAGTGCTTTGCAGGCATGGGCATGTTTGCCTCGCGAATTTCTCGGTTGAGCGAAGCGTCACGATGCACGGCGAAAGAGCTGGCGAGATGAGCACGCGACGGTAGTGCGGGATGCGAAATTGGAACAAACGACGGAATTCCCAGCGCTGATCGCCAGGAATCTGGCTCTTCGACAATCCTTCGCAAGAGCGAGATTCGCCAGCACAAATGTCAACCGAACGAAAATGTCAGGTGCTGGCCTGGGATGGGATGCTGGATGTCAGATGTCCACCTTGGGGATTCCAATGTCAGGTTCTAGGGCTGGGCTGGAATGCTAGCCTTCAGAATTCGAATAGACCGTCCACTATGTCATTGGCGAAGTAACTAGTCTTTGCACTATAGCGTCTCCTGTCCTATTCCGTCATCATACAACCTACTTCAGAAACTCGCGGTGTTCCAGATGACGTTACCGCCAGATCCCAGCACGGTCACGTCGTGGCAGCACCAGATTCCCTGGTGGTTGACCCTCGTGCCATGGGCTGGAATAGCGGCCGGCACGCTGCTCCTTGCGTATCGCCTGGTGTACGCGCCGTACCGCATCGTGCGGCAGTGCAAGAAGCAAGGCATTCCGTTCCTGCCGTTCAAGTGAGAGCCAATCCAAGGCGTCGCAGGAGTCCTGCGGCCTGCCATGTCGTTGCGTATCTCTTCTTCCGGGTTTCGTACCACTATTTCCTGTCATTCGAGCCGTGTTTATATTCCAGGCTGGTGCCTTCCTGTCTCACCTCCCTTCCCTGAACCACTCACCCACCTTTCCGATTTCCCTCTTCCCGTCCTCCCTTCCCCGAACCACTCACTGTTTTCCTCCGCACCCTCCGTCCTCATCTCCTTCTTCCCATCCTGCCTTCCCCGGCCGTCACCTCCTCCCGTTCACTCCAGGCCTTTCATTGGTCAAGCGCTCGACCTCTACAGCCCTCCCCCGCCTTCTGCTCCGCCCTCCCCCGACCAACCTCCCCCGTCTGACTTCCCCTCCTCCCCCCCCTCCCCCGACTCGCCCCCCTCCACCCACGGCCCCGCTGTGTTCATTCCGCGGCTGCACGAGTGGCGCCAGCAGTACGGGGACGTCGTTGGGTTCACTGTAGGGGGGACGGTGCAGCTGCTTGTTACGGATCCTTCACTAGTGAGACAGGTGCATTGCCGTGCCTGAGTTTGACGTGGTGTGATGTATATATTTCCATGCAGAATAATCGTAAATGCCGTGCCTACCCGCACCCTCACCCGTCTTTCCTCCCCCCAGCCTTCCCTTGTCGTGTTGCCTACATTCTCCCCTCGTTTCTCCCATCCCATCCCCACCCCCCCTTGGTGACTTTTGACTCGACTCAAAAGTCGACTCAAAAGTCACCTGAGTCGACTCAAAAGTCATGCTCCCCTCATTTCTCTCATCCCATCCCCACCCCCCCTTCCAGGTCCTCCTATCCAGCAGTGGTCGCTACACCAAGACGGCGGGGGCGCGCAAGGCGCTCAGGCTGCTGGGGAAGGGCCTGCCTCTCTCAGAAGGCTCGCTGTGGGCCAAACAGCGGCGCATTGTGAACCCCGCCTTCCGACCTGCTGCTATCAAGGCAAGCTGGTCGCCATTAAATGTCGCAGGCAGTTCTCTGCCAGTTGCAACATTTCTCTTGATTCGATGTGTAATATCGAATGTGGCAACCTTTTGGATGCTGTAGCCAGTCACACATTCCGACCACGCCTGAGCGCCCCTGTCCCGTCCTATTGTATCAAAGTGAGCTGCTTGTTGGTCCTGGGGATACTGAGGGGGGTGCTGAGGGGGGTGCTGAGGGGGGTGCTGAGGGGGGTGCTGAGGGGGATGCGGAGGAGGATGCTGAGGGGGATGCTGAGCGAATTACGTGGGTGTGCGTCGTTGACCTCCGTTGACTCCTGGTGACCCCTGTCAAATCCCTGTCACCACTGCTGACCTCTGTCAAATCCCTGTCACCGCTGCTGACCCACATGTCTCTGTGCAGGAGATGGTTGGCATCATGGACCAGCAGGGTCGCCTCCTGGCCCACACGTGGCAGGCACAGATGCAGCAGCAGAACGTGGCACAGGGGGAGGGGCTGTCGTCTACCAGCCGTGACAGTAAAGAGGGGAGAGGGGAGGGAGGGCAGGAGCGTGCTTATATAAAGGGTGCTTCAATGGAGGTGGATGTGCAGGAGAGCATGTCGAGTGTGGCTCTGGATGTGATCGGCCTGGCGGCGTTTGGATCCACTGTGATGCACGAGGGCGGAAAGGAGGGCGGACAGGAGTATGGGGAAGGGAAGGAGGATGGCAGACTCGTGGATGGAGAAGGGGGTCGGGAGAACAGGGAACGAGTGGGCAAGGCAGATGCAGCAGCAGCATATGCAGCAGATGCAGCCCCAGATCCAGTGGCGCTGTACAACGCGCTGTCGAAGCTGGCAGAGCTGGGCGCCAAAATGGTCTTCTCCTGGCGCTCCCTCGTGCCCTGCTACGAGTAAGCGTGCTCTACTTTCCAGTGGCGTAAGGCCGTCTCGTTCGTCTTCATTCAGTGAGTGCAAGGGCCTCTGGAACCAAAGAGCTCTGACCTCTATCTACCTTACGTGCCCCTGACCATGGTTTGCCGCCCCGCTCTGACCATGCTCGCTGCAATCCCTAATTCAACCGTCTTGGCAATGTCCTTGCTCTCCCCTGTCTCAGCATCTTGCCACTTCCAGAAAACTTCGCCCTCTGGGCAGCGGAGACGAAAATCCGCAACCTGACCCTGCACCTCATAGGCAAGAGGCGGGCAGCACTGCATGGCCAAGGGGGTTCCACAGGGCGTGCAGCGCGAGACCTGCTGGCGCTGATGCTGGCGGCGCATGACGAGGCGGGCAATGAGCAGATGACGGACCAGCAGCTCGTGGACGAATGCATCACCTTCCTCCTCGCTGGTACTCATCAGATGGCGGGCGTCTGTTGTCGGCTGTCGGTTGTCGTTTGTCATCTGTCGGCTGTCGGGTGTCGGTGTTGGCTGTCGGTTATCGATTGTTGGTTGTCGGCTGTTGGGTCTTGGCTGTCGGTTGCCGGCTGTTGGTTCTCGGCTGTCGGCTGTCGTCTGTCGGGTCTCGGGTGTCGGCTGTCGGCTGTCGGCTGTCGGCTGTCGGGTCTCGGCTGTCGGTTGTCGGCTGTCGGGTGTCAACTGTCGGCTGTCGGCGGTCGGCTGTGGGCTGTCGGGTGTCGGGTGTCGGTTGTCCTCTCTGTCGGTTCTCTTCTCTTCTCTTCTCTCGCATCCTTCTCTCTTTTTGTGCTCCCTCTCTGTACCTCTCCCCCCCCTCTCCCCCCGTTAACCCCCCTCCCCCCCTGCGGCCCTCACGCTTCACCGATTCCCACCTCTTCCTGCGTCACAGCCCTTCTATCCGCCTTCTCTCTCCAGGCCATGGCACCACGGCGCGCCTGCTGACGTGGACTTTCTACCTGCTGGCGAAGCATCCTGACTGGCAGGAGCGGCTGAGAGCAGAGCTCAAGGAGGCGCTGACTCAGCAGAGGGCATCTGACGCATCAGCAGGTGGAACAGCAGCAGGAGCAGGGGCAGAGGCATGTGGAGGGGACGCAGGAGGAGGGAAAGGAGGAGGGGAGGCAGGAGAGCGAGTGACATGGGAGGTGGTGGCGGCGCTGAAGGCCATGGGCATGGTGCTGAATGAGAGCCTGCGCATGTTCCCTCCGGTCTCCTTCATCGGCCGCACATGCCAACAGGTACTCAACACATGAACAGAAATGAGGGCTCAATAGTAGGGGTTGAAACTTGGGGCACTGTTTTCCACCTCCCAGAGCCATCTCTCACTGAATCTCACATTCTCATCCTTGATTAACTCACACAGGCTATTTGGAGGTATCCTCTATGATCTATCCATCCCCTCTCTGCTGCATCTCCCCCTATGCAGACGTGCAGGCTGGGTCCGTATGACGTGCCCAGAGGAACGGATGTGCTCATCCCCATTGCCATGCTGCACTATGACTCGCGCTTCTGGGGAGACGATGCCTTGGACTTCAACCCAAACCGCTTTGCCAGTAAGCCCGTCTATGCCTGTAGCTGATTTCCCCCGGCTTACTCCTTTCCCCTCTTTTGAAATTCCGTTCTGCCTTCCCGTGCGCCATTTTTCCCTCGTCTTTTTGCTCCATCTACAATTCGTTCATGCGCCCTTTACCGCTCATACTCAAAGCTTTGTGTGCCATCCCCTCTGTTGCCCATATTTTTGTCCTCCCTTGCCAATCTCGAATCGATTTCGGTTATCTCAGAAGGTCCAGACGAAGCCTGCTCTCATCCCCAGGCATTCCTCCCCTTCGGTTCGGGTCCTCGCATTTGCATCGGCAACACGTTTGCTCTTACCGAAGCTAAGGTGGTATTGGCGCACATCCTTCGGCAATTCTCGTGGCGCCTCTCACCGGCATATAAGCACTTCCCCATCAGTGCTGTCACCCTGCGAGCTGGATTTGGTATGCACCTCATAGTCGAGCCGCTGGCAAACCCCTTTTGAAGTTCAGGGCATACAATAAAGAGTTGAGGAGGCTACTGAGTACTCCTTCCCAACTACAGTAATAGCCTAGTAGCCAAGTCCTAGGAAGTGTGACGGGTGTGTTAAACTAAGCTAGGTAGGAGGGAAGCCATGGAATGGCGTGAGGTTTAGGAAGGAAAAAGTTGACGAGAGAAAAGAGGTCAGACTAGAAAGAGAGGAATACAAGGAGGGGATTGTACCCTCTACAGTAGAGTCCGATAACCTACCAAACCTACACAAATATATATATATATATATATATAAAATTTGACACACCCCCTAGGCTTGGTAGTCCCAAGCCCACACACGCCCACACCCCATAACCTAGCCCTCCCATGCCCAGCAGCAGGCGCGATGACTCCGGAATGGGTCAACTCCCACGGCCTGTGAGATGGCAATGGCAGCAGCGGCGGCAATGACGAGAGCGGCAGCGGCGTGCGGCAGCAACAGGCCAGCGGCAACAGCGGCTTCAACGTCAGAGGCGACTGCAGCGGCCCCCGCCCTCTCGGCGGCATGGCCAATCTCCTTGGCAAGGGGGAAGGAGAGGGGGGGGGGGGGGGGGGCGGGGCGAATCTTCAGCGAGGCACCATCGCTGGCGCGGCGCTTACTGGCGTGAGGGCGTTACGACTGGCGCCTAGGACAGGGTGCTGGCGCAGCTGTCCGTGCGCTGGCGTGGCGAAGCCGCCACGGCAGCACGACGGCACGGCGGCGCGGCGACCCAGCGGCACGGTGGCGCGGCGGCATGGCGGGACGGCGACACGGCGGCACTAAGGCACGGAAGCACGGCGACATGACGGGGCCGGCACGGAGGGACGGGGCCGGCGCGGAGTGACGAGGCCAGCGCGGAGTGACGGGGCCAGCGCGGCATGACGGGGCCAGCGTGGCATGACGGGGCCAGCGCGGCGTGACGGGGGGAGGAGTACGCTGCGGAAGCGTGAGGAGAAGGCCCGAGCAAAAGGGGCCTGCTCTGAAACCATGTTAAACTAAGCTAGGTAGGAGGGAAGCCATGGAATGGTGTGAAGTTTAGGAAGGAGAAATTTGACGAGAGAAAAGAGGTCAGACTAAAAAGAGAGAAGGATACAAGGAGGGGATTGTACCCTCTACAGTTGAGTTCGATAACCTACCAAGCATACACAAATATGTATCTATATATATATATATATATATAATTTGACAGGGTGTTAGGGAGTAGGAGAAAATCTATTATAGGGGGGGCACCGGGAGGGGAGGGTGTGGGTAGTGTGTCAAACATGTGTATCTCTTATGTCTGCATAGACTGTATAGGGTCACCTCTTACAGGATACAGCACTTAGGTATATTCACTTGTACTCTCACTCACTACTCAATCATTCATTCAGTTCTAAGATGGTATCAGCAGTAGGTAGGTCCCGCCCTTGCCCACGCTTCCGCTCTAGGACCTAGCCGCGCCCTAGCCGCCCGTCCTAGCTGGCCCCTGCGCTCGTCCTAGCCGGCCCTCGCGCCCGTCCTAGTCGACCCCGCGCCCGTCCTACCGGCCCCTGCGCCCGTCCTAGCCGGCCCCGCGCCCGTCCTAGCGGCCCCCGCGCCCGTCCTACCGGCTCCTGCGCCCGTCCTTACCGCCCCCGCGCCCGTCCTAGCGCCCCCCCCGCCCGTCCTACCGGCTCCCGCGCCTGTCCTAGCCAGCCATGCGCTCGTCCTAGCGGCCCCCGCGCCCGTCCTACCGGCTCCCGCGCCCGTCCTAGCCAGCCCCGCACTCGTCCTAGCCGGCCCCTGCGCCCGTCCTACATGCCTCCCCCCCCCCCCCGCGCTCGTCCTAGCTGGCCCCCGCACCCGTCCTAGCCGGCCCCGCGCCCGTCCCAGGCCCGTCCTAGCCGGCCCCGCGCCCGTCCTACCTGGCCCCCGCGCCCGTCCTCGCCGGCCCGGCACCCGCCACTACTGGCCCCCGCGCCCGTTCTGCCGACCCCTCTGCGCGCCCTGCCCGTCGATCTCCGGCCCCGTGCTCACCTTCCCGCCGGACTGCCGCCGATCTGCGTGCGGCCCGCTCTTCGTGCCTGCTACTGCACTGCACCCTACCTGGTACGGTTCTCCATCACTTTTCACTGCACTGCACCCCCCTGTACCGCACGGCACCGCGTTGCACCGCACTGTACCGCACTGTATCGCGCTGCACCGCACTGTACCGCCCTGCACTGCACTGTACCGCGCTGCACTGCCTCACCTGGCCCTGCCCTGCACTGTTCCTGATGGTGGCGGAGCTTCGCTTCGACGCTGAAGGCCAGCCTCTGGAGTTCGAGGCATGGCTAGCCGACCTCCGCCGCCACCTCACTGGTCAGCGGCAGGATGGCCACTCGCTCTCGGCACACCTTGACGGTATGCTTCCCTGCCCAGACCCCCCTGCTGTGCTGCCCGCTGACCCCAGACCTGCTGAGCGCGAGTCTACTGCGGCCGCTGCCCTCACTCGCTCTGTCTGGCTTTCCCGTGACGCTGTCGCACACCTTGCCATTAGCAATGCCCTCCCTCCGTCTGAGCGTCCTCGCTTTAGGTCTATCACCACAGCCCAGGCTTTCTTAGATGCAGTTATCCGACGATATTCCGCCCCGCCTGCGGCCTCGGTGGGTCGTTTGATCCTGCCGATGCTCTTTCCTGACCTTGTGTCTTTCCCCACTGTCGCTGACTTGGCTGCCACCTATGCACGATAGATGAGACTTGGCGCGCTGCCTGCACTGACGCACAGCTTAGAGCCCACCAGCTGCCCCTTACCTGTACCCTCTACCTGCTTGCCACCCGCCTCCCTGGCCGCCTTGCCGCTGCTCGTGACCGCTTCCTTAGCATTCACCCCGGTGACCTCACCCTCACAGACTTTGTAGACACCCTGACTGTTATTGAGACCTGCCACCGCTCTATCGACCATGCGAGCGGTACTGTGCCGGTCCCTACCTTTCAGGGTTGTGCACCCGCTCAGTGCACCTTCTCCGATGGTTCTGCAGCTGTGGCTGAGACGGCCGCTGCAGCGCAGTTCGGCGTGTTCACCCTGGACACCGTGACCCCTCCGCCTGGGACACCCTTTCAGGTGGCTGCGTCTACCCAGGTTGCTGCTGCCTGCTCCTGTCGATCCGTCACTCACCCGACTCTCCTTTGGCACCACCGCCTAGGTCACCCTGCACTTCCGCGTCTGCGTCACATGTCCCAGCACGGTCTCGTCCTTGGTCTCCCTGGTTCTCTCCCCGCTTTTCCCTCCTCCCCCGCCCCACCTTGCACGCCTTGTGTCGAGGGTTGGCTTCGCCGTGCCCCTCACTCCTCCTCGTTTCCCCCTACCGCCGCGCCGCTGCAGACCCTGCACATGGACGTCTGGGGCCCCGCCCCCGTCCATGGGCCGCGTTGAGAGCGTTACTTCCTCGTGCTTGTCGACGACTTCACTCGCTACACCACAGTCTTTCCCCTGGAGTGCAAGGCCGACGTGCCTGGCGCTCTCATCCCCTGGCTTGTCTTTGCCCGTGTCCACCGAGGTCTTCCTGTCCTGCGTCTTCACAACGACCATGGTGGCGAGTTTGCCTCAGATGTCCTTGGTCGCTTCTGTCGTGCGGAGGGCATCACCCAGACGTTCACCCCGCCGGACTCCCCACAGCAGAATGGGTTCGCTGAGCGACGCATCGGTTTGGTTATGGAGGCTCGCACCTCCATGATCCATGCCGGTCGACCCCATTTTCTGTGGCCGTTCGCCGTGCGCTACGCTGCTCACCAGCTTAACCTGTGGCCGCACCCCCAGCAGCCGCGGGTTTCGCCGACCCTTCATTGGACTGGGTCTCCTGGTGACGCGTCTGCGTTCCACGTTTGGGGCTGTCTTGCTTATGTTCGTGCCTCTGGCATGGACAAGCTCACTGCCCGCACCCTTCCCTGCGTCTTCCTAGGTTTCCCCCTAGACGCGTCCGACTGGCACTTCTACCACCCGCCGTCTCACCGGTTCTTTCACTCTCGCGACGTCACCTTTGATGAGTCCGTCTCCTTCTACCGTTGCTTCCCCCACCGCGGTCCCCCTGTTACTCCCCCCCTGTTCCTGGTCACTCCTTCCCAGGTGGTCCCTGCTCCCCCCCCTCCCCCTCCCCGTCCTGCCCCCTCCGGTGTGTCCCACGTCACCCCTCTCCTGTCGGTTGTCCCGGTCAAGGAGTCTTCTGACTCAGGTGGTCCTGCGGCGCAGTCCTCGCCGTCTGCCCCCCCCCCCCCCCCCGCCGGTGTCTCCTCCTCCACCGCCTCTGCAGCCGCCGTCGCCTCTGCTGCCGCAGCCGTCGTCTCCTCCGCCGCCGTCGCCGCAGCCGTTCGTTGAGTCTGGGGGTGCTGGCGTTGGAGTGGGTACTAGTCCCGGTGGCCCTGGGGGTGGTACCGGTGCACGGGGGGTTTCGGGCTCTAGGGGTGTTCCTTCTAGGGGTGCAGGCGTGGAGTGTTTCGGCGGTAGCCGAGGAGCAGCTTGCGGTCCCGGTATCGGTGTTGTGCCGCCGCAGCAGCAGTCCCCGCCGATGTCAGCCCTTCGCCTGCTCGGCCTTCCGTCCCCTGACCCTGCGTCTGTTCCTCTCCTGCCTTCTCCTCCTCTTTCCGTCTACGGTCCTGTGTTCCCTCCGCTGGACTCGTCCCGGGCTCGTCTTCCTCCTCGCTCCCCCCTTGTGTCCCCTCCTCTGTCTCCTGATCGGACTCCTCCGTCTCACGTCTGGTCTCGCTGTCCCTCCCGTGCTTGACCTGTCTCCCCTGTCTCGCGCTCTCACCCTATGTTGCTTCGTTCCCACGCGTCTTGTCCTCCCCTTCTCCCGTTGCCCCCTCCGTCCTCCCTTGTTGTTGCTCCCCTCCCTCTGTCTGACTACCTGCGTGCCGCCCGTCCTCTTGTTCCTCGGGTCCCCTCCTCTCTCGTTACTGACCCGTCTGTTCCGGTTTCGAGTCTTGACACCCTTGTCGCTGCGGTCGCTGACTTCGCCTCTACACGCCACCTTGACTACGCCACAGCTCTAGTCTCTGACCCTGCCTATCCTCCGTCTGTCGGGGGTGCTCCTGCCCTCGGCAGTGACGTCCTGGAGGACTGCCAGTTCGAGCTTGCTTTCCTGTCCGAGGATGCTCCCCATCTCTGTTCCATGCTGCTAGTCCCTGAGGGTGACCCAGACGCTTTCGACATCCCGATTCCTCGCACTTACGCTGAGGCGACCTCGGGACCCTGGGCCTCCCAGTGGATAGCTGCCATGGAGCAGGAGATGGCATCTTAGAGATCCACCGGCACCTACGTCGACGCAGTTCCCCCGC